GCTTGATTACAAGAATGATGCCACCTAACAAGTTTTCCAACAAACATGGGTGTAAATATTGTTTAATCTGTGTGTTTTCATTAAATATATCAAGCTGAGTCATATTTTATAAGTGAGCCTTGGATCTATTTTACTCTTGTAAATTGAAAACGAAGCCAGAGCTCCAAGAATAAGCATCACAACACTGCAAAGAAACTTGGCCTCTGAGTACAGATTTCACAGGGTAAAAGCAAAACTGTGAGTACCCAATAAAGCTAATTTATCAAATACCAGAGCAGTCTAATTGCTGTCTGTCTGGTTAGAAGCCTCAATTACATTATGTAATTCCTATGAATGGCAACTAAATTATAACGGTGGTACTTAATAAAATTCATTCTACCCTCTTCTTAAAAACGAAAAACTATAAATAGAACTACTGAGTGGCCACTTTTGAGGAAGAATGTAATTTATATTATGTCCCAAAACACCTTCCATACCCTCACAAGGTAGCATTTGCAAATACACTGGCATTAAACAAGCCTCTCCCCCATGTTCTTTGAGAATCTACAGTACAGCAGCAGGAGCAAGAAGTTTTAATTCACCTGTGAGTTATTTCCAAGCCTTGCTGGATGGTCAGATCTGTGAACAGTCATACACACAACCAACTTATCTGGAGAAGTCAGCTTCATTTGAACATATATTCTACTTGGTGGTCAAGTACATGTAACTAAAGGTAAAGCCTACATCCAGGAAGCTTACGTGACTTGCCTAGCGTAGGTCTCAGCACATAAGATGCCAGATCACATTGCATAATGCAACCAGAGCTAACACTCATAATTACTTATGTAAATCATATGGCAAGAATTTCCCAGGCCTTTAGGGAAAAAAAAAATGTTTATTTGCGGAGTCTAATTTTTTATATCAGCTATCAAGAAAAAGATTGTCAAGGAGCGTATTTGATTACTGAACTTGGATCTGGATGTACCCTCTTTGTGACATTGTCACATAATGACAACCTGGAGGTTAATACATTAAGGCAACCTCTATGTGAGTGACAATTCAGAACTACTTGAAAGTTGCATTATTTAACTGTGTCCAGATGGAATAGAGAACATTCTCACGCTGAGCAATTATACCAGCAGGCCATTGATTGGGAAGTTGATGTTTGTCTTTTTCCACATGAACAAGGGCAGGCCCATTGCTGGAAGCTAGTGCTCTATCATTTTTAAATAAAGAGAATACTTATCATTAGCATTTTCTAAAGCATGGGAAATATTTGATCTGCATTTGCTTTTATTTCTTCCTGATCAAATGAAATCTGCAAAGCCTCCATATACTCTTGTGCAATCTTAGCACTTATTTAAATCATAGAAGCTCATAGAATCAAAAGTATACTTTTCATAAGAATTTTTAAACCCCAAAATTCCAAACAGGCAGAAATAAGTATTACCTAGAATTCTTACAGATTTTTCAATGGATGCCTTCCTAATCAAAATATTATAATGTAAATACTGATTAATTTATCTAGAATTTTAGAAGATTTAGAATAATATCAACCCAGCTATGGGGAATACAAAAATAAATCATCAAACAAACATTTTATGACCCTTGCTATGTCTCAGGAATTATACTGGAGTTTGACAAATAAATTTCTGACCACAAGCACTCATAGACCCCTGCCCTCAAGGCTTCACAGTTGGGATACACCCTAAGCAATATCTATTTCCGTTAAGAACACACTGGGCTGCAAGTAACAGAAAACCCACTGTAAACAGTAGAGTAGGCAACTTGGGAATTACTTTTTTCACATAACAAGAAGTCAGAATGCAAGCACTGGTTTGCCTGCTCTATGATGCCATCAGGAACCTATGTTTTTTCCTTCTTTTCAGCTCCTCTATCCTTAGTATGTTGGCCTCTGTTTCCATGATTGTCTCCTCATGGTGCAATGGAAGACAATGGCTATCCCAACCAAGTTTTTCCTCTTTATCAGTAAAGCAAAGTGTTTCTCAGAAATCCTACTCAGACTTTCCTTAGATCTTATTAACTGGAGAGTCAAAGGGCCACTTTTATCTAAAAGACTAAAAGAGAACGAAAGGGACAAGATCGTCATGGCTGGCTTTTAAGTACAAGAATGACATAGGAAAGTAATGGTTTAAAAAAAGTAATATGGAAATGAAAGAGTAGAAAGGGAGTCAGTAGGACCAAATGGAACATTGTTAATATAATTCTGTCACGAGAACAAGAAGGTCTAGGTAATGGATCCTCTTATGATGTTTTAGTTTCTAATACCCTTCATGAAAGAAAAAACATTATGGACAGGTGGTCAGATACTTTCTAAACAACAGTCACAAGTTGTGCTGCACTATGGTGACTAGTATGTCTGTAGCTGCAGGTTAGGCACTATCCCAAGCACAGAGGTGGCCCCTAGGGCAAGATAGTGCCTCTGAGCTCCTAAGGGTATACGTTATAGCTCTGAGCCCCTGAGAAAAGTCTAAAAACTACAGGTCTGACATGGGTACATCTCTGATACATTTTCCCAAGTCTACAAAGCACAAGGTCTGCTTACGTATATCTTTTTCAATGTTATCTCATGTGCCCTGATTTCCACCTTATTCTATACACTCTCTGAAACTTCCAAAGATTCTGCTACATAAATCAACCTCATGCCCACGTTAGTGGCAGCAGAAATGAAGCTTAACTTAGCCCAAAAGGGTTTGAAGAGAACCAAGAAATAAAGCTAGAACCAGATCCACCACTATCATTATTCTCACGCTACTTTACATTAGACAGTAGTAGAAAACTGATGTTAGAAACACTGAGCACCTAAGTGTCACTCACTCTGATCTCTAGTTGCTGCTTCTGATAATTTTCACCAATTAGCACAGGCTTAGAGTCAGACTATCTGGGTTTGAATACCAGTTCTGCTACTTAATAGTGGTGTAATCTTGGGGAAGTGCTTAAATTCTCTGTATTTTTCAATAAAATATTGATCACAATAGCACCTACCTCACAGAATTGTGGCGAGAAAGAAAGTGAGTTAATATTTGAAAGCCCTTGAAAAGTGTGTGGCACATGTCAGCACTCCCGGAATGTCTGCTATTTTTATTACTGCAGCCATTATTATTCTGGTGTAGAGGTGAACTACTCTGTTTTGGAGGTCATAAAGACCTTGATTCAAATCCTGACATTACCACTTACTATCCCTATGACCCTGGGCAAGTTAGTTAATGGTTCTGAGCCTCAGTTTATTTATCTGTTAAAAAGGGATAATAATGCTTGTTTCATCAGCCTGTAGTATTAAGATGGCACGTGACAGTGCTTAGCACAGGCTCTGACAAATAAGTAATTTGTATTCTTTTTTCTACTCCATGATTCACTCTTTTCTCTGGGTTTATCACTAGAACTCCCCCGGGATGATCTGTTACTTGTGACTAATTTATACTCTGTGTACTTATCCCACTAATATTATTTGAGTGAAACAAACTTAAATTCAGAATCAGGAACTACCTTGAAAGGAAAAGAGACTCATAAGAGTAGTCTCTTCCAGTTTTGAGAAGAAAAGATGCCATCCTACAAATATGGTAAAGGTCTTGATGAGAGACGTAGAACCATGATTCTTTAGCATCAAGAGGTAGTACCACCACGCCTTCGTCTCACTTACCCACCACAACTGAGTGGTCTAGCCACCCTCTAGAGTTGCTACCACCATTCGCTGGGAAGCCATGAGGGCAAAGAAAAGTTTGGGACCTGAGATAGGTGTCCCCATTTGTCATACCATTGGGATAGCTCTGATTGTCACATTCTGAGAAATGCAAATACTAAGCTCTGAGAAGATACAGTTTTCTTTGTGAATCACCTCCATCCCAATTTTTGACCTCACTTTTAGGTGGGATGTATCTACAGAACAGAGTCTGTGACTCTGAGACACATCAAAGCCTATTTGGTGGCCCCTTCTGAAATCAGAAGAGGATGTAATTTTCTATGGTTTTTGCAACTCTCTTACACACAGTCCAAGCAAAGAACGCTATAGTTTTAGAGTGGATGTGGCTGTCCTTACTCCGGTATACTCACAGGAGAAGTACATTGACACAGTACTTCTTTCCTTCCATCTTCGACCACATCACTACTGTATTGTGACCTCTTCTTCCCAAGCCCCTCCTCCTACGAACAACAGTTGTATCCTCTTAATCTTGTTCAAACTGCCTTCTAACACTGACCACCACCAAAAGATGTTGCTTCCAGAACAGGCTGAATGGAGAACCTTAAATGCATGGGGAATATTCCTGACTCTCACCTGAAATCAGTTTAGCCTGGGCATTACAGTTGAATTTAAAGCAAATGTATGCACAGGCAATCCTGGGTGAGCTACTCTGAACAGGAGATGGCAGTAGCAGCCAAGGATTTGGGCAGCCCTTTCTAGCCCTAACAGAGGGGATTTCCCATCAGTTGACTGTCAATTCTGGACTGCAGTTTTGCCTCACCAAAGTCAAGGTGGCTAAATAATATGCCCAAGATCCCAGACCTTGCTGAATCTCACAACTATTAAAGAACTAGAAATTGCTCAAATTTAAGGTCGAACAACTAAGTGAACACTGTGGAGAGCTGTTACTAAGTCTCACTGCAGAGGAAAGGAGGAGCCCTCCAGGAAATAAACAGATATGCCCACTTAGATTTGCATTAGTGGGTTTATTGGAAGGAGCACGGATCAGAGATCCAGTGCACATTCTTACTGAGACCTTGAGCAAGTCATTTAGCGAGGTGATTCAGCCCATGCTGTCATGTGGACTCAGGGGATAAGGAAGTCTTCCTCACAGATTTTACAAAAGGTTAAGTCAGAAAACAGCCAGGAAAACTCATTTTGTAAACTATGACATGCTATAAAAATACAAGAAGGACATTTTGGTTGGTTTTAAGTCATTTCTTTGAATTTGTCCTGGCACCTCCAAATTTCCTAGACCACATTTTTTTTTCTTTCCTTTTCTTTCTTTCTTTTGTTTTCTTTCTTTTTTTTTTTTTTTCTGTCCAAGTAATACGGTCAGAAGCTGTTTGACTATGAGTCTATTATTTCTCTGATAATTATAATTTCCCAGAGAGTTATGGCACACAAATTACTTTGTAATAGCTCTAAATTCTTTGCTTTATCCTGAGTCTACAATTATGCACTTATCCATGCTCCTGTCATCTGTGGTACTGATTTATGGAACCTCTGTTCTCTGATCTCATTTCTTACCTCTGCCTCCTTTAAAACTCAAGAAATGTGGCAGCAAGGTCAAATTTCTCATCGGTCCAGCATTACATTCTCAGGTGTAATCATTCCGTCTTAATAAAGCAAGCAGTTAGTTCCACAATGGTCTGTTTAATACACTAGATAATTGCTAAGCCTTCATTATATAACCCCGCATCCTGTCCCTTGCTATAATTCCAGAACCATCATGTTGTGGTTTGAAACATCTATTAATTTGGTGCAAATATTAATTAAAAATTTATTTCTAGCCAAGAATATGATGGATTAAGTGCCATGTATTAAAAAAGGAAAATATAATTAATCTTAACCAATTTCACTTGGAGCAAAAACAATGTAACCGGAAAGTTTTCTGGTAATTGCCACACACAGACTTTTTTCAAAATTTGAAAAAAATATATCTAAATTGTAAAGTATTGCAGAATCAGTTTGGTATTATGGTAGAAGAGTTATAAGCCATGCAACTATACAAAATTTTTGATATCATTAATAAAGCAAAGAGATATTACTTTGCTTTGTTGCACTTGTGACCTAGAGTGAATTTTATTCATAGTAAAATTAGACCCTACTAGCTTCTTATACCTGAATGGCCAAGAGGTAGAGAAATTTCCAGAACAGCCTTATTAGAGAGTGAGATGCATGACAAGACCATAATCTAAAGCCAGTTCTCAGTTTTATTATTTACTTTGCTGCCTTGATCATTTTTCTGCACTCATTTGGCTTGAAGGCATAGACATTCTCTGTTGATTATCTCGGCTTGGCAGTGGGTTTCTGCTACACATTTTGATTCCTAATATGGTAGTAGGAGAGGATTTTGTATGAGTTCCAGCGAGTTTCTCTGGGCTTGTGGAATGCAGCAAGGAAAGAATCCTACAGAGATGAAAACATGAACATTTGCATTGATTAAAGAGAAAAATGAAAGAAAGAAAAAGTATCACTCTAAATTTTTTTTTCCTTTTCTTACTCTGTTCACTTCACTTCTAATAATGTCTTACACTTTTGGGGGTTGGAGGAATTAATGCTGTGTGTTCTTTTAATGCTCATATCTTCATGGCCGTTTCAAAAATTATTTTGAAATGCCCGAGTGTGTTTTCAGAGGCAATGTTAACAAAATTGTTTTCATCATCATCAAGGTTGAATCCCTGAAGCACCCTATTCCTCTGTTCTACAAATTAGCCACATGAAGAAAACTGACAGAATAAGTTTCATGTCGCTAAAAGAGAATAATAGGCGGATCATGTATATTCACAGGGTACAAATTTTGCAGCAATATGAACTATTACTAAAGAAATACCTTACTTGCCTATCCATCTATTGATTGTGTTGGAGTTCAATACAATTTTTCTCTCAGGGTCATGAAGTAATTCGCAAAATCAGGGGTGTTCAAAGGCGAGAATTCAGTCATGGGTTCTTAGTTTCTGTTTCTGGTTGGTCCAGTAAAGCCCCTTCCTCAGCCCTCTTTTCCACTTATCACTACAGATGCAGACTTAAAACCATGACTTCAGGCTGTTCAAAGTCAAAAAAAAAAAAAAACCCCTAGAACAATAACAACAATAAAATAAAGCAGATTGGACAAGCTCGTATGCATCCCAGATGAAGAACTTTCCTCTAGTAATAGGTTCCTTTTCCCTAAATGTATTTACTGAAGGCCTCTGTATTTTAATAAGCTATATTTGCACTGGTTTTAAAACTTCATTATTTTCACCATTATTCACATCCACTTAATGTGTTACTTTTATATAATTAAGAATTACATTTGGCAGTTATGCTCTCAAAACTGACTATATCAACATTCTGTCATGTATTTATAGGCTTATTTGGTTCTGTATCCAAAAAAAAAGTCACTAATGAGAGATCATTTACAAATCCAAGAAATTCAGCATGCTACTGTAGATGTGAAAGTGTGGTTTTCATAATGCTCCAAATATTTTCTTTTCTGGACAACTTATTTTAAGAAGCCCTTCAATAAACAGTTCTGATTTGACAGCAATAACCAACCACAAACACAATTAGTCAGTATATTAGATAAGCCCATGATTGGCTAAAGAATCATGCAAACCTCAGAATAACAATGATGTGAATTACATAGAAATTTATTTCTCTGGAATATGAAATAATGTAAAGATAAGCAGTCCAAAGCCGACATGGGGTCTTCATCTATCACAAGGAACCTAGGCTACTGTCTTTCTCTTCTGCCATCCTCAGCATGTGACTTTTGTGTCATGGACCTGTGTGGCACATGGGCCTCCAGAGAATGAAGAGAAAAAGGGAAAAATAAGTGTGAACCTATGTCCTTTACTGAAAGTCCCACATAGTACTTCCACTTACCTCTCGATGGTCAGAATCTAGTCTTGACCACCTGCAAGGGAAGCTGGGAAGTGTAGGCTTTTATACTAGGTGGCAATGTGTCCAACTAAAAATCAGGGCGCTAAAACTAAGGGAAGGTGGTGAAATGGGTACTGAAGGAGGCCACACCTAGTTTTGGTCCTGGTCAGGTTCCCTGGCTCCTTGACTTGCTATCATTGTCAGATCATACAGTGACTTGGCTTTCCATGCATATTCATATTTATTTATATAAATCAAAGCGTTTGTGTTTCACTAACATAAATATAAATATTTGAAACAAACATAAATATATATATTTACATAGAAATATATATGTAATTTTAGAAATTTTGAAGTGTAGATAATTAGAAAAAAATGCAAAGCAATCATAAAATTCACCACCCAGAAATAAGTGGAGTTAATTTTATGGTACATTTTTTCAGGTCTATTTTCATATACACATGTGTATCTATATACTTCTCTTAGTAAAATTGAAACATACAAAGAACATCACTTTTAACCTCTTTTTTTTTTTAGCAATAATATATTGAGGCATCTTTCTGCACCAATATTCTTTTCAACATTGTTTTAAATTGCTATAGATCATTTCATGATATCATTCCACAATTTAACCAGTGTCCTATTGTTGGCAGTAGTGAGTCTGTACAGATCTGAAACGTTACAGTAGGTAGCTAGTCAGACATGAGCAGGGCAGTAGAGGGCCTCCCCACCACCACCAAGAATGTCAGGTGGTTATTAAACTGCCTGTGTAAAATCATAATTGGTTGCAGCCAGTGACAGGGAAAGGCAGTCTCCCAACAGACAGAAAAACATGAAACTGGTGACCAACTTCCTGATAAGATCTCAGGAGTTTGGCGAGTGGGCTCAAGAAAGATGGTGGAGTTTAACTGGCATATGACCTTACAGTAACACTCCACTGGTAAGGGAAGAACACATCAAGTAAGCATGTGTACAACTCCTGTAAACACACTGTGCATGCAGCTCTCCCAAACACTAGCAGGCCACTGTGCATTCAGACACCCACCCAAGGGAAGAATCAGGGGAGAAGGGACACAAGACCCTGGAAGTATGCCAACGTATAACGCCCCATGCACTTGATCTTTCAAGTCACCAGGTTGGCCCTCTTGCAAGTGTACTTTACTTCTTTTCATTCCTGCTTTAAAGTTTTGTTAATTAAACTTTCACTCCTGCTCTAAAACTTGCCCCAGTCTCTTACTGTGCTTTATGCTCCTTGGTCAAATTCTTTCTTCTGAAGATGCAAGACTTGAGGTTGCTGCAGACCTGTATGGATTCACTTCTGCTAACATACTTGCTACCTCAAAAAAAGCAACTAGGTGGGATCCTTAAAGGGCCACAGAGTGATGCCTTATGCAGGTGGTTAAACTGCTTCAAAAAACACCAAAAATTTGGTGTTGGAGCAGAATAGAGAAGAAAAGTGTATGATAAGTCATAGGAGCTGGCAGAGCCAGGGTTCCAGTTAATGTCTGTTCCGGCAATGGGCCAACAGACGGGGAAGGGTTGGGAGTCATCTGAACTGGTAAGGTAAAAACAAGTATAAATCTCAGAGGATAGCTGCAAGGGAGCCCGTATCTTTGCTGCCAAGCAAATGTAGCAAGGGCTGCAGGTGCACAAATAATACACACAAATTGTGTGTTTTAAGGCAGAGAAGGAAGTCACACAACATGTGATGTGAAACCAGGGAAAAATGCATAATTGCCTCTAAGATGGAGAGTCTGGTCGGTGTGCAAGGCCATTGCAGAATACACGCAGAGAAAACCGACTAAGTGGTGCAGGTTCTTGGGGGAGAGCTGATTTTAGTTGAAAAAGCAGAGGAAACACCAGAAGCTGCACGACATTAGGCTGTAGCCCTACTACTCTCGCACGCCTCCTATCCTGGAGGGACTTTAGTACCTCAGTCCTATTCCTACTTGGCACAGACTCCAAGGTCCTTCCTGCCCCATCAGGCTGAGCTGGGAGATCAGCCAAGGGGAGTAGGGCCACTGTGGCAGAGAGGAATCATTCTGGGAGTTGGTTAGTAAGCAGGAGAGCAAAGAGGGAGAAGGAAACCATGTACGGGGGTTGAACGCCTCTGCTGAAAAAGGTAAGATGTAGAGGTGTCTTACTACTGGGGAACATATCTGTCACACAGTACCAAAGTATGTTAGCAGCAATGAATTCATACAGGTCTGCAGCAACCTCAATTCTCGCCTCCTCAGAAGAAAGAATTCAATGGAATGGTATGAGGCAGAGTGAGAGACCGAGGCAGGTTTTAGAGCAGGAGTGAAAGTTTACTAAAAAGCTTTAGAGCAGAAAGAAGTAAAGTACACTTGGAAGAGGGCCACGCAGGCGACCTGAGAGATCAAGTGCACAGTCTGACCTTTTGACTTGGGGTTTTATACGCCGGCATGCTTCCAGGGTCTTGTGTCCCTTCTGCCCTGATTCTTCCCTTGGGGTGGGCTGTCCTCATGCACAGTGGCCCGCCAGTGCTTAGGAGGAGCCACATGCACAGTGTGTTTACTGGAGTTGTACGCATGCTTACTTGAGGCGCTCTTCCCTTACCAGTCAAGTGTTCCTATAAGGTAATGTACCAGTTAAACTCCGCCATCTTGCCTCTTAGTTTGCATGCTGCAGCCCACTCACCCAACTCCTGAGATCTTATCAGGAAGCTGATCACCAGTCTCAGGTTTTTCTGTGTACTGGGAGACTACCTTTCCCTGGGACTGCCTGCAACCAATTATTATTTTAGGGAGTCAGTTAATAATTACCTGACCATCACCTGATGGCTACCTGACATTCCTGCGTGGGGGCCGAGGAGTGGTCTCTCCGCCTGCCCTGCTCACATCTGACCAGCCACCTACTGTAACACTGTTGTTAATCATTTTGAGTTTTTCTGTATTATAAGCCACACAGCAATTAACATCTTTGTTACTAAATCTTTGTTCATATCCTCAATTACTTTTAGAAGATAGTTTTTCTGATCAAATAATATGCATATCTTAAGGCTTTGATATGCCAAACTCCTCTCCAGAAAAATCAACATTTTACATTGTTACCCTTCCATCTGAGTATATGCCAATACCTTTTGCCCGGCAATGAACATCATATAATTTTTTTAAAATTATTTACCGATTTGATAGACCAAAACATCAGTCTCAGGTTAACTATGCCTTTGATCACTACTGAAGTGGAACATTTCCCCTGCCTTTATATTTAGCCTTTTTTATTATTGTGGAAAGATATGAGAGGAGAGAAAGAAGCTCATGGGCTCAAATTTGGAAACACTAACTTCAGACTGACAGGAAAAAGCCTCTCGTTCTGAAGATAAGTCATGTATGCTAACTCAGAATGGCAACATAAAAGGAAAGGTTATCCTTCCATTTCAAGAGGCAGCCAATGAAGCTGTCACCCGACCTCTTCCAATAAGGTACCCAGATATTTTCCTCCTTTGAGGAAGGAAGCCACCGTGATCTTGGCTCACATTGTGTTGAGTTTGAAGGACGCTGCTTCATATGCAGTGTATGAGTTTTCTCCCAGCACAGTTTTTCCTTTTACTTGACTGTCAAGCTCTTGTCCCTGCAGAGTGGCAAGTGAAAATATTCCAAGGGGCTCAAATTTAATTCAAGTAGTCAATAAACCACAGGATCTGTCTGCTCAACTATTTTCATACCAAATAGGATACTTCCCATCTAAATTTGTAACTGAGCTGAAAACAACTTTGTGCCTTTAAATATCTGATGTTGTGTCATGTTTCACTACATTTAAAGCCAATACAGTAAGTAGCCAGATCACAATATGCCAAACAGCTGTTTGTATCATTTCCTGATATATGCTAAGTAAAAAATTTCAAATACCCTAGGCACACGCTATGTGTGAATGGGATTGATATATTTTCTTGCTTCTGTATTATATAAAATACTCTGGAGTAGTTAATTCTTTGCAAGTTTTTAAAACTTTCCTCATGGCCAAAAGCTAAATCGTAAATCAAGAATTAATGTAAGAGAGAGTTTGAATACTCTCTCTTAATTCCCAGTTAGACTATAAGGACAAAACTTCAGGTAATTGCATACCTAAATAGCAAGGTACAAATAAAAATAGGAAGAAAAAAATAATCCTCTAACAGCAAAATCAAAAATTAAATATTGAACCATAACTCTCTTCTCCTCTATAAGCCTAACAGTTCTTTTCCATATATGTAAGGAAGGCAAATATGCATTTTTGTTTACAATTTAGGCTGGGACTGCTACAGTGACTCACTTGGAGTACACCCCAATGAAAATTTAGTGGACAATAACACAGAACACTATAAGCCCATAAAATTATAAAACATTATTGGGGTTTGCCCATCTTCCAATTGTCTTGGTGAAGTCTATTTTTCTTCCTGTATAGGAGAAGCTTTTTAGAGTCAAGCATCATTAAATCAAAATGCAAAGGAAGGAGAAAATGAATGTGGGTTAATTGCATTCTGAATGCAACTGAACCGCAGTTGGTACAAATTACTGGAGTATAAGAATGCATTGTGCATACCAGGAAGACAAGTCTTTTTGGTGAAGCCGGAGTATGGGTGTGTACCAGGAAGTGGCAGCAGATGAGGATTCTGAGTGTGTTTGTGTGTGTGTGTGTGTGTGTGTGTGTGTGTTGGCAGGTGGAGACACATTAGATCCTTGTATGTTGCATTGAGAAGTTGGGACTTTGTCCTGAAGCATACGTCTCCCAGGAGAGTTGCAGCTACTGTCTAGGTGTGTCCCATTGTATACAATTTGGCACACTCTGTGTAATCTTCTCCCCTTTATTGCACAAAGAAGTCCTATACTTGCAATCTTGCTAGAGAAGTAAAACTTGTATTCCTTATCAGTAGATCTACAGGGTAATAAAAGGAACACTCTGATGGGAGCAGCTGTAATGGAATTGACGGCCTCTTTCTTCTTACCATCAACTGCCTGAAGATAAAAGGAATAGAATTAATATAAATAAAGGGCAGAAAGGTACTGACTCTAAAGCAATGAATTTTTTTGTAATAGGAGTGGAAAGAAAGCAGAGACCAATGAGGGCCACAAGAATCACAACAGGCTCCTGGGAGGAGGTGATACTTGCTGTCCCTGCCAGATGTAAAGCATAATCTTCAGGGTCCTCAAGAATTAAGTGGCAATAGGACTCAAAAAACCATTTCTCCAGTAGGGATATAGTGATGTGCAAAACAGACAAATCTCTGGTCTCATGGCTCACCGCAGAAAACACAGGTACCTGTATTTTTTTGCAGGGCCTTGTTAGGTTACCTGTACCCAAAGAATTTAGGTAATTGTTCCTTTATAGATTTTCCATTTCATTTCCTTATTTATATAGAATTATTTGCTTGCTTCTTTACAATTTGTTTGTTTAAATTATAAAAGTAGTATGTGTTTATGACAGAGAAGTAAAAACATACCAGAAGTATAAAGTTTCTCTCTCCCCTGCCCTACCCAATCCTTCCACTCAGAGATAACCAATGTTAAAGTGTTGCATGTGCAACCTTTCAGGAATTTTTCATACGTATGCAAGCATAGATTAATGTTATATATAAGTATTATCATACTATTTCACTTTTTCATGTAACTGCTATAGTGATAGCACCATAATGCTGGTATAAAAGGGACTCCACCAGGGCAATCTGGTTGGAAAGAGGGTCTTGAAGCTCCATTGCAAAACACTTAAATAAAATACAATATCAATTGTTCGTATCAAAGAAAGGAATGTGCTGAAAAGTAGGAGACAGTAAAGCCCCAGCAAGTAATTCCTTGGTTTTACCACTTAAACATTTTTGTATAATGGCACATAAATAGCTGCCTATGATTCCCTTGAGTGAATGGATCATAATTTCTTGAACATTCCCCAATAGTAAACATGCAGATTATATGTAGAGTTTTTGCCTTCATAAACAATAATATTTTGAATCCCTTTGTACAAAGCTTACACTTAGGCAGGGAACCTATAACAAATTCCTATAAGCAGAATTCCTGACTGAAAGGGAATATGCATTTTTAATGTTAATAGATGTTGCCAAAATTAAGCCAATATTCCAGTTAACAGTTAATGGGAGAGGACATTGTTTTTTAAGGATTTCCTTGTAAAAAGAAAGTGCTGAGTAATGCGGCCACAGAACTAGTTCTGCTAGCTTAATTAAGTTTCAAAGTCTACCTACCCATTTGCAAGCCAGGCTTTACATGTTCAGCTTTCTCTGAGCTTTTGATAACAAAGCTGTTTACATTAGTAATCCAACTAAACTGTGGAGTGGCACAGTCCCATTTACATTGAGAATCATTTTTGTTTTAGCTTGTAGGAGTGTAAATTACTATTAAAGGAGTTCCATTTCAAATCCAAAGAACATTCTGCTAAGAAGAAAACTAATGAGAGAGGGAGCCACAAAAGACAAGTCTGAGCTGCTGACAGCAAGGCAGATAGAAAGAAACAAGGCAAGGCAGAGAAACAAGTTCAGGGAATTGAATAAGAAACTCTGTCACAGTCACATGACCGTCTAGCTCTCATGAAACAAAAGGTATGGTAGATGTTTGCCTGGAAGTCCCTTGGGAAAGAATGGCAGCAAGACCAGATGGCAAAAACAAAAAGTTGAACATCTTTGCCATTTTCATTTCATGTTCAAATGCTTCTTAGAAACATACAACCTTATCGGCATTAACATTTTGACATTTTATGTATAGATTCTCTTCTAAATAGAGTTTAGGTTTATATTCATATTATTGTAATAAAATAATAGATGATCACTATTTTTTCAAAGATTAAAAAATATGATTCATAGAAAAATGCGAGCATTAGTAATTTAGTTTTGGGCTTTGTCAAATATCTTTTTAAAAACTCAGCTAATAATACACTAAGTCTTCTCATACATAATTCATATTGTTGATTAAAACCTAAGAATGGAAGGAAAAGGCTAAGTCTAATTTTTTTGCTAAAAGAATGAGTAAAAAGTAATCAGCCATGTTAATATTTCAAACAGCAAACTATTTGAAATGCATTTCTGCTTTGAAAGAAAAATTTGAGACTAATAAGTTCTATTATACACTATTGATAAAGAAAGAAGATATAAAAGATACGATATACTCTTAAAAATGACCATACTTTCAAGGAAATATAAAAGAATAGCTTCTTTTTTTGGTCAGTAAGAAAACTGTTTGAAGCCCTGTGTAGTCATAAATAGCAAAAATACGACGAAAATCCTAATATGTGTGTGTGTGTGTTTTTCTCTTCTTCAAGATTCCTATGATATCTAACAATGATATATTTTTAACTTAGTCTGAATTGTAAAGCATGTATCAATTGTCAGTTATCAAAAGTGTCTCTGAAAATCTGGTAGCAAAAAGCAAAGAAACAATGAACATGTTCATTTAGTCTTCCCTGCTTTTACAATTTGTCATTGAAACCTGTGTCTTCCTCCTAATCATGTTTTCTTAAATTTTACTTTTATTTAGGATTTGGTGATTGAGAGTTTGGGTTTTCTGTTTGCTAGCTGATTGGTTAGTTGGTCAGGTGGTTGGTTTCTCTTCATCCAATTGCATACAATGCATTTCTAAAAGGACTTTTAAGGAAATGTGGAATATCATGTAGTAATATGCCCTGTTGCTCATTCCTCCTAAATCTCTCTTACATCCACCTCTGCCTGCTTTCCCGTGGCCTGCCTTGGTTTAGGCCCTCACCACTTCTCTACTGATGATAACAGCCTCCCAAAGCCCAGCCCCTTTGGCTCCTGCCTTGACGTTACTGCCAATGACCTCGTCCTAAAGCAAAAATCTCATTATGCCACTCTCCTGTTTAAAATATTTCACTGGTTTTAATTAGCTTCTCAATTCCTTTATGATGAAATCCAAATTCCTCAGAATGCTCTGCAAGCCCTTTCATGACAAGGCCCAGGCCTGCCTCTCCTAATGGAATCACTTGTAAATGGCATCATTTACCCTACGCTCCAGCAGTAATAACACTATGCATTTCACACAGGGGAGCTTTTGTGGGTGTCAGTGTTCTCCCTGAACTGTTATCATTGTATCCGCCCACTCCCACCCCCCACTTCGACCTGAAGAACCTCTCAAGTTATGCTTTTCTGTTTTTCTTTTGCATATCACATCCTAAGAATCTTGTTAAAAAGACTTTACTTCTGTGGGTCTAAGATGGGGCCTGACGTTCTGCATTTCTAACCAGTTCCCAGGCAATGCTGGGAACACATATGCAAGACAAAGCTCAAAAACCTTACTCTGCCATCACTCCTTCTGTGAAAACCTCTCCTACAAAGCGGATCTACACTAAGTGTCCTCTTTCCAGTGTTTATGACTTGTGTATAGAACATGTACAGGTCCTCTTAGATGTCTCACACCTTATTTAATTACTTGGTTATAGGTCTGTCCCTGTAATTACTTGTCCATCATCAAGGGCTGGAACAGTGACTGCTGCTCCTTGTAGGCCCAGAGCTAACATTTGGTCCAGATGTATAGGAATTTCACAGAAGTATTTTGCATGAAAATTAGTGAAAATTTTTCACGTGGTACCTGAATGATCATTTGATAAGGTGTTGTTAAAAATGTCCACTGGATGGAAGGTTACAGTAACTTTTTAGCCCTCAAATTCATGGTTTTTCTTCATGTTATTGACAATCTCTCCAGTGGGTTTTGGTTAGGGGGAGGCTTAAAAGTAATTGATTTATGATTCTTTTAACCAACATGTAAGTCAAGAGGCTGGCCAAGAGTTTGAAGAGCCCAAACCTGTTAGACAGTACAACCAATTATCTTTGTGGCCTTGTGGGTGACTTCGCCACCCCCACTGCACAGCACAGCCCTGCCTGTTTCCAAAACACCTGGCCTTGCACAAAAGAATGAAGAAAGAGCCAAGGCACAGAGAATATTCTCCAGCAGAGAGTTTGGGCAATAAGTCTTAAAGATGTCTGAGTAGAGAGACAATTAGTGGAAACAACATGCGTCCAAGGTTTCTCCCATCATGTCATGAACTTGACAAGAAAGGCAGCAGTAACTGTTCCAACTGTGTTAACCAATGGCCCTGAAATTTGGTCAATATCAGATACATCAGAGCCTGAGAGATAAGAGTGGTTTTCAATGCTGTGTGCACATTAGAATCACCTGGGAAGTGATATTTGTAAAATATGAACACCGGAGGCCCCACCCCAGAACAGCTAATTCAGAATTTCGGGGGGAATGGCCAAGGGGTCAGTAGATTGTAAAACTCAGGTGATTATACTGTGAAGGCAGAATTAACAACCATTGGTAGAGGGTAGTACCTTCTTCCCCTATGGGTGCCTCAGAAGTGAACATCTACCTTCAGCTTACACATCCCACTAATTGGCCACTGCGTCTTACTTATTTTTGGCCAAATGAAACCAATAGAAAGTTTTGCCTTTTCTCCATGTAGAAGGGACTAATGATTCTATAACTAAGAATTGTTCAATTTCTACTTACATTTCCCATCACACAGTTGTTGAGAAATTGGTAAGTTGAGAAAAAATGTGAGGTGTAGAAAGAAGGAAGCTGAATTCATTTAGAAAAGAGAATTCCAAATGAGCTTAATTTCCTTTTTTCTAAATCTTAATAATCTGCCTTGCTTTTCTTCTCCTTCCACTGCACCCTTTCTCCACGAATTCATCAGTCATAGTCAGGTCAGGTGGGATCACACTGGCTAACAAAGGATCTGAGGGTACAATGCGGAAGTTGCCAGATAATGGGATTCAATTACATTTCTAAGCATAGACTTCTCCAGTGTTGGCTGTCACACTGCCTAATGCGGAAAAGCACTGCGTTATGTACATGGTAGGTGCTTCATACATTTTAGTTGAATCTGATTCAGAGTACTTCAATTTTGTTAATGAAATATTTGAGGTCTACAATAATAAGTACCAATAATAATATAACGAAGATGCTTGTACCTACCACACTAAAGAAATAAAACCTAACATCTATAATCAAAATATCCTGTGTCCTCTTTATCTCCTTTCTCTCATTCTCTCCTTAGAGGTAACTGTTACCTTGAATTTATGATTCCCAACCCTGTTTTTTCATTTTGTTCATCATTCCAATGTGTGTTTTTATGACACACACAGTTTTGGTTTTGTATGTTTTCAGCTATATAAATGGCACTTTACTGTATGTATTTTGTGCATTTTCAAGCTTTATATAAATTGTATCGTATATCCTTCTGCATCTTGACTCCATATTTTATTCTTGGGATGTATCCGTGTTGATTAAAGTAACGTTGTTACTTTTTATTGCTGTATAACATGCCATGGTAGGTAAATACCGCAGCTGGTCAGCTAATGGATTGTTGAATTATTTCTAATCTCTTGCTGTCACAGACAATGCAACATATCTCCTTGTGCAAATGTGGATGAGTATTTCTAGACATTTACATAAGAGTGGGATTGCTGGAATGTAGGGTATGCACATTTCTAAATTTCCTAGATGTATTAAATAACACCCCAACCAGAAGTGTGTGAGCTTTCCTATTGCTCATATCCTTGCCACGTTGGCATTGTTAGACTTAAATGTTCGGCCAATTTTAACTGGTGAGTTTTTCCTTAAAAACCCTGAAGAGGGCAGCATATCCTGGTAATTGCTGCATCTTATACCTGCATTCCAGTTTATGGGTCCCTCCTTTCTTTACTGCTTGAAATCCTTTGATCTTCTCAGTTACTCTTCAACCCACCCTCTCACCTCAGTCAGCTCTGAGCAGTATCTTAGAAGGACAGACAAATATAACACTATCTCAAAGCTGAAAGTTACCTCCAGCTTTTTCTTTCCACATTCCTGACACACTTCTGTCCTCTGACAAGGAGGCAGGGAAACAGAAACAAGTCAGTCTGGAATTAAAACACTTTTTCCAGTCCAAAGTAGCACGAGAGAGGTACGATGTGAGTAGAGAGCAGTCTTCTACCATTCTAAAGCAGTGGTTTGTAATCTAAATAGAAGGGCATTGCACACTATCAAAAACTATGCTTATATAAATGGGAGAAATACTGAGAAGCAGGAAAAAGTATTGCAAAGTGGTAGTGGCATTGTTTTTCTTCTGGAATAAAAGATACTTACTCCTTTGCCTTCTCAGTTACATTGTTCCTGGTTCCCTAAGGAAAAAAAAAAAAACAGTGTTCGGCTGCAGAACATCTCCTAGAATTTCTCTCGTTTAATACCGAGCTAAAGTCCTGCCACTTCCAGAGTTCCACAGTGGGAATGCAGCCTTCACAAAGATGCTTTCCTTTAAACAAAGCAGATGGGGAATTGAGCGGTGCTTAAAGATTTGACATGTCTGCTTTATGAGGGAATTTATTGTTAGTACTTTCAAAGTAGACCTAAAACCACCACTCTGCTTTTTTATTCCTGAAACTGAATTTTAAGATTGTATTGCTTTAAAATAAATGGATGAATAAATAATAAAATTTTATTGTTGGGGAGGAGGAAGTAGACAAATAAATATGAATTGTTTTGGAATTGATTGCTATTTTGAGTTATTAATCATTTTTCCCCTCCATTGTGGTAGATGAAACTCCCTCCAAATGAGATCTGCTGCTTTTTCATTACTGTCTTGAACTCTTTTATATGCTGGTGTGTTTTACAAATTTCTAAGGTGCGCCATTTAGAGAGTCTGTGCTTCTAAACTGTTTGACCATAGTTTCCTTGTTTAAGGAACACCTCACTGGAGTTCAAAGGTCACAGTTTGGAAAAATGCTAGCTTAGCTATTCTAAAGGTGGCTACACCATCATTACTAACCATTCTGGCCAGACAGTCACAAGACCCAATTATATGTCATCTTGACTGAAATTCTTTCATGATAGAATATCTGTCTTGACATGTTGGTTGGGATACATATTGCTTTTGCATTGAATGTTGTTATGGAGACATTCGAAGCCAGTCTAATTTGTGCTTCATCCAATGTGACACGTTTTTTGTTTTTTGGGTTTTTGGCTTTTTGGGGTTTTTTTCCTCAAATTCCCAAGGGATGTCTTTATTCTTGAATTTTAAGTATTCAATCAGGGCTGTGCTAAGTATTCTGTTATCAATATTTCCTAGAACATGGTATGCTCTTTCAATCTATAAATGTGGTTATTCTTTCTCTTTAGTGAAACTTCCTTGTGTGGTATTTGTGAATACTTTTCCTGTTCCATTTATTGAAACTTCTCCTTCAGGGACATCAATTTCCTCATGTTAAGTGCTTTTGAACTCCAATCTGTCACCTTCTAATTCCTTTCGTTCCCTTGTATTTACAAGCCATTCCTCGAGGCCAGTAATTTTATTTGCAGCCATGTTTATTTTGTTCCTTGCTCTGTCACCTTTTAAAAATTCACTCTATAATATTGTTTTTGTACTCAGCCTCCTTGGTTCTGTAACCTTCCTGTGGTTCTGTCAACTCATCTTTGAGCTCTTGTTTTTCTGAGTTCATGTTCTCATTAACTTGATTCATAGTACAAAGCACTTCTAAGGAATTTTGTTTTGTTCTTTGGACTATGTTTTCTTTAAAAGTGGGAGTTTTATCTTTCTTTTGCATGCTATGTTCCTTTCTTTTAAGGTTGATTGGTTTTGTTAGTTTCTATTTGGGAGCATTGCCTTAGCATGTTTGGATGTTTGTCAATGGTTTCCCCCATCTTATTCACACCTGAACAGCTTTATCCAGATCTTCTTTGTTCTCTCTAATGTAGGTTACTTATTGACTCAATTTCTATAGACTCTAACTTGTTTTCCCCGAAGCTATGATTAAAGAACTTGATTTTGGATACCATCCACTTAACTGCAGCCTAAGGAAATGGTGCAGGGAGTAGAGAGGGAGGGGAAAGCTCTGCTGAAGCTGTGTGACATCTGAGTTAGAACTCCTGGGCTCTGCACTTTTGATTGCCCGCTCTCTCTCGCTCTCTCTCGCTCTCTCTCTCTCTCGCTGGGATTTGTCAGATGTTTTTAATTACATTTTAATCCCTCTCTTAAATCAGAATACATATCCATCCTGAAGGGGAACACTCTAGGATTTTTTTTTAAATCATTCAGCAAATTTTTATTGAGCCCCTCTCCTTTGCAAGGCACTATTCTAATCTAGGTGCTAGAAATAAGCTGTGTGAACAAATGAGACAAGATTCCCCTTTCTAATGAGTTTATATGCAATGTGGTATCTTTACTGATACATGCAGTGTCAGAAAGAAGCAGCCCACTTCTGTCCAATAGCAAATCCACCATCCTTCAGACAAAAATGAGAAAAGTAAGGATAGTCATTTAGTTTCTCTCCACATTTGAAGACCATAGTGAGGTCTTAAGATTTCAGTAATTCACCAGTAAGGTTCCAGGGGCAGGAAGGAAGTTCAAGGTTAGAAGCTACACTGTGCCACTCCAAGATCTGTTCTTTTCTGAGCCACCATTGTATATGTGTGTGTGTGTGTGTGCGCACGCACACACATGTGCATGAATGCTTTGTTTTGTTTTAATGTCTGTATTATTAGATTACAGTATTTTTCTTATTTCATTTCTGACTTATTACCAGAAAGGAGGGAGCTAGTGGTTTTCATTTTTGGCATCCATTGTTTTTAGTTCTGAGAGAGAGAGAGAGACTGTATAATCTGCTTTCATTCTATCATCTGAGGCTGGAGGCCTCAACTAGTTCCTTTAACTCTAATTGAACCCCAGAGTCTGCTAGTATAAGATCGCTGTGAAGTAGCTCTGCCCTCAAAATTTTGTAAGTACTTTAAGACACACACACACACACACACACCCCAAAACAAAACATGAAGCTGAGGTGTTTTGGTTGGGTTATTTGCCAGCTTAGCCTCTTACGCTTGGCTAAAAAACATTTCAAGGACTTAAACTGTGGAATACTTCTAAGAAATTGCTTTGTCTTATCCCTGGATACTGCAAAATGGATTGCCTCAGATCTAAGAAATCCATTTATCAGAAAAATTCTTCAATTTCATGACATGTTATGCTCGAGATGTTATTGCACAATCCCACAGAAATCCAGTCCCTCTCCTAAATATGCCAAATACCTGTACAGATGGAGCAAGCAGAGAGAGGAAGTGACAGCGAACACCTGTTCCTAAACTCTCCCAAGATACCTGCTCTGGGTTAGCATTAGATGGCCTAAGCACCTGGATCTATTAACCTAAATAGAAAAAAGAAATATTTGTAGTATTTGGTTGCTTCTTTTTCTATTTAGGTTAATAGATGGAGCATTACCTACAAATGAGATGAAGCATCACCTACAAATGTCCCTCAAACAAGTCATACTTAGTTCAGATTATAAAGACAGTATTTGATAAATGCTGTACATATAAGGGAATTTGAATGGCACTAGCTTGCAGCTTCTTGTGTCACTACCATGCCTCTAATGCAATTTCCCCCATCTAGAAATGTAATCCTCAGCCAGTTGCCTTGAAAGCTGGTTACCGTGGAGATGATTATCAGTATTATGATGACCTATTTAGAAGAATTTCTGCATCGCCAGAAAACAAATAACCACAGAGAGAGCCTTTCAAATGAATCATGCTCTTTCTCTGAAAGTGCCTTTACAAACAAATGCCATGGATGCATTGTGTGTGTGTGCTGCGTGTGGATTTGTTCATTATTTAGATTTGCAAAGTTTTAGTGAAATTCCAGTTGTCTTTAAGCATTCCAAGAGTAGAGGGGGTAGTACAAACAACAGGCATAAGCATATAGACATCTGTCCTCTTCCTACAATTTGAAATGCATGGCCATGGCTGTATTGATTTCTCAGCAATGTTAACATTTCTTTCATTTGTACAGTTTTTCTTGCTCATCCACTGCTTTTTTAGAAGTGCTGGAGTGTGGTTGGCTGGTGGTTGGTAAAGACTGGTTTTTACAAACTGATTGATTGACCATTAATAGCTCCTAAACATACTCTGACTGCTTGATGGCTATTTTGATTTTCTCAAAATTATGTCATGAAATCTTCTCTTAACTTCTGTTTGATCTCCCATTTTTCTGTCAAATAGTTTTGTGTGTGATTGTATGCAGATCTAGCGCCTTTTTTTTTTAAGTTTTTAAGTTTGTTATCCATTAATCATTGCCCTGCTCCTTATAGGAAAGACCAATGTTTCAGCTGCTGCCCTTTTTGGTTTTGTTTTGCTTTTGGGTTTCCTTTTTCTTCTTTTTTTTTTTTTTTTGAGACATTTAATTTGCACTTGTAAAAATTTCAGTGATAAAAATTAAACCTTTATTATGTTCACAGAAGCAGCAAATAACAACATAAGCCAAATGTTACCCCAAAGAGGTCAAACAGATCTAATATTTTCCTTCCAGTCTATGGAGGTCGTGTATTCATGGCATTTTTATATTTGTTCTTACTGTATTTTCAGGCACACTCCTTTTTCTACTCTCATCCTTCCACCCACTGTCACTTCTTCCAAGGTAATGGCAGGAATGTTCATATTTTCTGCTGTTACTTCATATCATCTAGCAAAGTGCTGGATAATGGATGTTTAGTAAACCTGACCCCTCATACAACCTCCAAAGTTTTTGTTTTTTTTTTAAGTGAATTTCCTGGCATATATATATAGACATATATAGCAACTCTTTTTTTGTTTTTTTTTTTTTTTTTTTTTTTTGTCTGTTCACGTTCACAATGGCCTTCCAGTGAATTATCTAGGAATCTCCATTTTTTAAACCATGTACAGGCAGTCTGTTTTCCACAGAACATTTTGGGTTCAAGTCAATTGACTAATTTTGGCTCCATTTTCCATTTCTATACCATAGACGTGTCCTTATGCCTGAAATCACATTGCTCTGAACTGAGGACAAATATCAAATTCATATTAATTGCCTCACTAATATTCTTAGGCTGGTTTAAATGCTATGCAAATCCCAATAAAAATCTTAGTGTGAGAAAATTTTCTTCCATTCAACTAAATATAACTCTTTCAATACTTTTTAGAAGGAAGTACATTGACATTTTAATTAACAAGTTCTTAGTTAAATTTTAACTCCAAAGAGTCTAGCACAATATATTTAAGTAGTCAACTACACAGTCAGTGTAAAATGTTGACTTCTGTCCATCTAACACAGTTGCATAGGAACGGTTTTACCTGCAAAGCACTAATAATGCTTACTGGCATATGGCCTTCGACTCATTTATACCATTTCCTAAAAGAGGCATGAAGGACACAGAGAGCTTTTCCATGTAACTCAGAGCCCATAAATGGTAGCTCTTCTTAGAATATTATGTCTACTCTTTTATTCAATTATTCAATTATTCAATAAAGATTGTTAACTCTCCCTCTAAAATGGCCTTCAGATTAAGTAACAAGTTGTGAGTTGTTTGAAGCATATTCACATCCAGCACTGCTTGATTTAAAAAAAAAAAAAAAATAGCCTTTCTGAAACCAGACTTGGAGTCCGAATCACCCAGAATAGTTCCAGACAAGATTCAGAATCAGACCTCTGACTCTGCCCAACCATTCCACTAAATTAATTCACTCTGTACTCCCTTGGATGGACTTGGAAGGCAAATCATGAGCTTGCTTTAGAATATTTCCTCTTTGCCTAATCTTCACTCCTAGAAATGACAGTGCTTAACATTTAGCACTTGCAATCCTTCCCACCCTGAAACTAAACTGGGAAGAATGAGAGCAGAGTGTTCTAACCTTATTCATACCACAAGAAGTTATTCAAGGAAAAAAACAAAAACATATTTTACAGCCTTTAACTAGATAAACTTGCTTTGTGAATACAGCACAATCTTCAGAAGAATGATGTGGAATAACTTCTCTCCAGAAACATTCCATGGCTTTATTCCCTCTTCTCTAAGAAAATTCATGTCCTTAACTGCTAGCTATCCAAAGCAAATCATTAACACTCCATGTGTCTTGCAATGTTGCATGATAGCGATAATCTAATACTGATAACCTGCAGACCTGCTCACTCCAGGAAGCTATCAAAAAATGATAAGGCAAGTGAAAAAAGTACAGCCACACAACAGAATGTTAATATTTGTGTTTCTAATAACATTTTTAAAAGGTTTCTAATTAAGGTAAACATATTATGATATGGTTTGGCTGTGTCCCCACCTAAAATCTCATCTTGAATTCCAATCCCCATAATCCTCACATGTCAAGGGTGGGACCAGGTGGAGGTAATTGAATCATGGGGGGAGTTTTCCCAAGGCTGTCCTCATGATAGTGAGTGATTCTCATGATATCAGATGGTTTTATAAGCATCTGGCATTTCCCCTGCTTGCAATTCTCCTTCCTGCCGTGTGAAGAAGGATGTATTTGCTTCCCCTTCTGCCATGATTGTAAGTTTCCTGAGGCCTCTCAAAGCCATGCTGAATTGTGAGTCAATTAAACCTCTTTCCTTTATAAATCACCCGGTCTCAGGTATGTCTTCATCGGCAGTGTGAGAACAGACTAATACATATTAACTCACCACGGTTATTCCAGTTAATAATTTTCGTCATGTTCTATCCAATCTGGAATAGTACCTGTTAGGGTATTCCTGATGAGAAGCTCAGGGAGGGTACTGTTGGATAAATCAGCTGTTTACAAGTTCCGTTCACCATTATTTTAGTGTCCAGTGAGTAAACTATGCCATCTAAGATTTCCAGGGACAGCTCTTACGGGGCTGTGCCCAAGAAGTCCCCACAAGGTTTAGAGCCCTCAATCCAACATGCTAAAAGAATAAACCAAAAATAATGTATTCATTAAAGAAGTGATCATTGAGGACCCATTGTGTGCCATCAGGGTCTCAGCTAGTGCTGAAGATATGGTGGGAAGAAAAAAGTAAAAACGGAAATGGTTCCTGTCTTTTGAGGCTTAGAGATTAGGAAGGAAAAAGACATTTATAAATCACACAAACAGAAAGAATGAATTGGCATTTTATAAGAATTATGAAAGAAACGCTGCTTTAGAATGAGGAGTCAAAGGAGTTTCCATGAATAAATGATGTTGGAGCTGAGCTTAATTGAAGAGGTGTGGGAAAGGGACATGAGGAGGAGGCATCCCAGGCATGAGGCATGAGAAGTGAACACATTCAAAGGGCTGAAAGGTCACTGAGGCTGGAGTGGAGGCAGGAAGTGGGAGTGTCCTGAGAGAAGAAACTCGAGAGGTAGAGTAGGAGCCAGATCATTCAGGTTCTATTAGTCTAGCTCAGACATGTCTACATTTAACTTATGGTATAATTACTGGATTAAAAACAATATAAGGAGTTATACCATGTTTTAATCCTTCCTTATACCATGTATATAATCTAAATTGATAATGCTTGTGAATGTTGAATTACAATGAATGTTCAAAGTCACAGGACTTCTGTGATAACTAATATTAACTGTGTGACCGTGGAGTGGTAACTTTTAGTCTTAAGAACCTCATCTGTAAAATGGAGGTCATAGTACCTACCTCTCAGGGTGGCCACTATATCTTCATAGATAAATTGGAGAGACTGGGTGGTACAGTGCCTGGTCAAAGCCTTTTAAAAATTGGAAGTTATGCAGTACAGCCCTTACACCTGGGAAAGAATGAACTCTACCCTGGAACCCAGAGTTTGGAAGGTCCTATTCTGGTCCTCCCCTAGCTACACTCTCATGGGGTGGAGAGTCTTCAAGTCCAACAAAATATTCTCACCTGGAGGCCACACTGAACTCCGTATTCTAGATGATGCTCTGGATACCTGAGACCCCAAAGTTTCCTGCCAAAATGATCCCATGATGATTCACGAGGCCTTTAAGTGTCTTTTCCCAAAGCATGCACCATCTGAAGGCAGATGCATACCCCATGTCTGAGGGGTGGCTAGGGAGCAATGGTGAATGGAAATTGTACATGCAGGCAGAGTGTCCTCAAATGTACATGTGAAACTTCTTGCAATGCACGTTGTAGCTCAATATGGGAAGAGGAGGGGGATGGGACAGGGCCAGTAATAAACTTTACCCACACTACTGGGTTCTATTGTGGGACCCCAATCTGAGAATTATAAATGTAAATCTAGATTCTCTGGTCATTATGAACATTTATTTGTCAAGATATGAGAACAGAATATACATATTGCCTTAGTCCACTTGCGTTGCCATAAAGGAATACCTGAGGCTGGGTAATTCATAAAGAAAAGTGGTTTATTTGGCTCATGGTTTTATAGGCTGGACAAGAAGCCAGCATCTGCTTCTGGTGAGGACCTCAGAAAGCTTCCAATTGTAGTAGAAGAAAGGGAGCAGGAATCATATGACAAGAGAAGGTGCAAGAGAGAGCGGGGGAGGAAAGTGCCGGGCTCTTTTTAAAACTCAAATCTCTTGGGAACTGATAGAGCAAGAACTCACTCGTTACCATAGGATGGCACCAAGTCATTCATGAGAGATCCACCCCCATGACCCCATGACCCAAACACCTCCCACTGGGACCCACCTCCAGCATTGGGGGTCAGATTTCAACATGGAATTTGGAGGGGACAAATATTCAAACTATATCACATATGTTAACATTTGAATTTTTTGTTTGTTTGTTTGTTTTTGAAACGGAGTCTCACTCTGTTGCCCAGGCTGGAGTGCAGTGGTATGATCTTGGCTCACTGCAACCTCCACCTCCCAGGTTCAAGCAATTCTTCTGCCTCAGTCTCCCACATAGCTGGGACTACAGGCACCAACCACCACGCCTGGCAAGTTTTTATAATTTTAGTAGAGATGGGGTTTTGCCATGTTAGCCAGGCTGGTCTTGAACTTCTGGCCTCAAGTGATACGCCTGTCTCGGCCTCCCAAAGTGTGGGGATTACAGGCCATCATGCCCAGCCTGGATTTTTAATTTATAACTTTTCACTATTAGATATATGGCACGTGGACTTGGATTTGTAGTGTTAATCTGGGCAAGTAAAACAGGGAGGTCTGAGCCTGTGATTTACAAAAGTCTACATATCAGAGAATTCCATTTCATTTAAACCATCTTAAGATATATGGATTTCCTATTTATGAAAATCACATTAGGTTAATCGTGAGTTTGATTATGCACAGGAAGACTAGAGAAAGCCAAGGGAAAAAGTAAGTTCAAAGGAAGACAGTCCCTCTAGTGACCTCTTTCCCTCTCTACCTAAGCATAACGCTATCCGAGTATCACTGAATGTATGTCTTATGAAACTGTATATCTCTATGTAGAGACGGAGGGAGAAAAAAACATGAACGATGATGTTTAGAATTAACAAATGGTTAGCTCTCTAGCTGTAAAACTTGTTTGTACTCCCTGACTATAGAGCCTCAAATTCAAATTGAGCATTTCCAGCTGAGTGAAAGGTGCCCGCCCGCCTGCTCTGAATTCCTCTCACAGTTATTGCTGTACATAAGTCATTCAGCAAGAAAACACATATGGTCTTAGGCTATCTTTCCTACTACAAAAAATATGGGCAAATTTAAATACAGCTTTTTTAGGAATTGATGTCTTCTCTTCCCAATTGAACTATAAGTTCTTTAAAGAACAAATTGGAGTCTACTGTTTTCTGTGTGCCTTCATTCTCTTGCAGCCCCTAAGAGTTGCTCAGGAA